CCCCTGCCCAATGCTAACAATATACTTCAGTCTTTTAGTTGTATTATTTGATTTACGTTGCTATACATGTATGAATATTAAGAATTGGTATCTCATTCTGTGTGCATGAAACATGCTTCGTCTTTACATTAGAGGAGTTGGGTACAGAACCTCATTTTAAAGAAGTAATTCTTGTGCAGAAACTCACTTGGTCTCGACAATTATGCAAGGACCCAGTTGTAAGAAGTCCATTTACTCTAACAGAAAATTAATGTGTTGTACTTCCTCTTCTGATTTAGGTTTCATGCACAGTCATTCCTAAATCCAGAAAAATAGTTCACCTGAATGCATGACATACTAAATGTAATTGACTGTACTGTTCAATAGGTAATGCTTGCCAACTCCAATGTGCTTCAGCTCATCGAAGATACAAGTCTGTATTTAAATTTGTAGCACTGCGTATTCTAAAGATAGCATTGACTCGTAATTGGTGTGGTTACAAGAGGGCAGGATAAGACAAAACCAGGCCACAAGAACATGTGCTGAGGCGGGCAGAAGAGAGGTTAGAAAACCCCTGGCCGGCATCCAGTAAGTGCAGCCGTAAGAGTGCCAGCATGGCTGTCCCGCTGTTGAGTGCGGGCTCCCTCATGCAGAGCCCCTTGCAAGTGCCTGCACACAGCCCCACCGTTAACCCACCCACCCACAAGCCAGAGTTAACGCTCTGGATTGCATTTGAATACCAGGAGGAGGGTGAGTTCCCTTGTTGGTTGCTTGATGAAGTAACAGAGATTTGAATGCCACTTTATCATCAGTGATATACTCTGAACCTCCCCCAGTTATTTTCATATTTTAACTTGCTTTCATTTTTGTCAGTGTGAAATTCTTTATTCAAGATAGTAAAACTCCAGTGAGAGACACAGTCTATAGTTTAAAGAGCCTGCAGTCTGATCTCTTCAGACCTAGTACAGAAAGCCCTTCTTTTCCAATAAAATTTACAATTGGACCAAAATTACTATTTTACTAAGACTCCACCTTCAGATCATCATGTTACCGATTTTAGTGAAAATTGTATTTAACAACAGAAACAAATTGATCCTTGCTATGTAGTCAATACCTGTAAGTGTGAAGGCCTTTTGTGAGATCTTGCAGTTGTAGCATAACTTGTACAGAAAAGACACATGAAGCTTAATGCTAAATTAGAGTTCTGATGTGAGCATCACTGTAATTTTTTTCCTTGAACAGTAACAGTAGCTGATTATATCTCACGAGCTGAATCGCAAAGTAGACAGAGAAACCCTCCAAAGGAGACACTAGCCAAAACCAAGAAAGAAACGGTAAGAAGATTTTTTTTTTTTTTTTTTTCCTAAATGTAGGTTTCCTCTTTTTGTCTTCCCTTGCAGAAAAAACAGTAAAGGAACGCTTCATTTTGAGCACCCTCATTTGACTACAAGTGCATTTGAGTTTAAGAATAAATCATTAAAAGCAAAAATGGCCCAGGGTAAACAGAGCTGACATGGACTTGTAGACTGTCGTTGCAGACTTCAGTGATCAGTGTAATGCTCAAATTAAGTCTTCATGCATTTTAAAATACTATACTTACTAATGTAGCATTACATAATAAAATGTGAAAATTATCCATGGATGAATCTTAAGAATGAATCCTTAAAATGCTTTACAAATAGAGGATCCTAGTGCATGTTTAGTGACTTGTACAAACTATTTTTAGAAAGAATCAGTGTTACAAGATTGTAGATTTGAGATTGCTTCTCCTTAAATGATTAGAGTGGCATTACGTATCTTAAAAAAACAAGATTCAGAACTGAATAAAGCAGAACTCCCTTACTTCTAAAGTAACATTGAACTTACTGCCACAAGTTATGTCTGAGCTGAGCAACATAAAGATCCATTGCTATATGATTAACAAAATCTAATCTTACTATAGACTTGGAAAGGGGTGTAACACTTGTCTTTTCAGTTAACTACTTCTTTGGCTTAGACAAATTGAAATTGTGAAATAAAACACTCTGGGTATGCTGGGGCTATGCTGTCTCGGGGTTCCCTTGGCATGATTTCCTGGGAAGCGTCCCGATACGGAAGTATCCTATAAATGACAAGGTAAGTAATAGGATGCTATAAATGATAGGAGACTGGCACAGCCAGACCGGAGGCGTTTCCTATCGCAAAGTTGTTGTGTGACCCAGAGGGAAATTTAGATTACACTCCGTATACTTTTAGGGAATTTTTAATACTATCCTGTTTTTGTTTTTGCAAGGCAAAAGATGCGATCGATGAGAACAGCCCTTCTGAAAAGGCAGTGAATGGTCCTGCTACAACTTCTGGGGATGAGCCTTCTAAACCACAGCACAGTCCTGATGAAAAGAAAGTTACTGTTCAGGAGGATGGAAATAATCAGGAAGAAGCAGTGCTGAATGGTGTTTCATAAACTGAACTTCCTAGTTTACAGTTCTTTTACATTACATTTAAAATAGTGCTTGTATAAGCTTGCCAAAGATAGAATATGGATCGCCAGTCTTGACACCGCACTTTCAGTTCCTCCATTTTGGAATACAGAAAGGGGAGGGATCCTGAAGAAATCATATGTTAAACATACTTTGACACCTACTGTGTTATAAATATATCATCAGATGTGCCTTGAGATAGTATATGTAACATTTAAATAAACAAAATTGCTGGCTATAGGAAATGTTATTTTGTTTTCAAAATATGGCAAAGATGTGAGGGGGATCCCTAACATAATACTCTTTATGAAAGCATTAGCTGCTTTTGTTACATTTTTAATAATATGCAACCACTTCTTCACCTGAGGAATACTAGAAAGAAATGCAGTCTAAAATATTTTGCACTGAAATGTAATTCTCCATTAGTTTAGTCTGGAAACTGGTCTGTTTTAATACATGTTTTTTAAATGCTGTATGTAGAGGAAAAATCTGCAGACCACTGGAATACATTTGTTAAATTCTCATAATCTGCAGGGATACTGGGTGACATTGGCAGTGACTGTTCTACATTGAGGCTTTGTTTGGTTTATTTATTAAACTGTACAGTATTTAAAAATCAAACATAGCTTTAGTTAACACTAAGCTGAATTAGTCATGTCCATTAAGACATAACCTGAACTACTGAAAAAGATCAATTTCCAGAAAGTTTATTCTGTATAAACTACATATGTTAGTCCTTAGTAGAGTATTTTTATTTTTGTTTTGGTTGTTTGATGTGCAATATGTTTTTTTTTTGTATGCTGGTAGTAAAAGAAAATAAACTTTGATCTTCCATCTGTTGACTGTTTCTATCAGAAATTTAAATTACTATTGACTTTGAGGTTTTCAAGCTGTTAACACTAACAATTGAAATTTACTTGCGAGGCAGCTTGAACCTTTAACTCTTTTCTAAGAGTTTTCTAACATGCTAATCTTCCATTCTTTAAGGTGATGATGTAAAACATCAGTTAACAAGTCTAAAAACAGACTTCTTATCTTGGAGAATCACATAACCTGACTAACATATATAGGAATTAATGCAGATGTAGTTTTTGATTGAGAAGTTACATGTGTGATGCACTAACCCATCTTTTCAGGCAGATCTGGGTAGCAAGGTGTTGTAGTAAGTCAGAGTAAACTGGTAGTGCTGAGGTTGTACTGGCTTGAAAGAAAAAAAATTCTGTCTTAACCTGATTCCATCCAGAGTAAGGACAAAAGTGTTCTGAACCACCTGTGACTCCTGCTGCTGTACCTGCTGCAGCTACCGGAGAGTTGTACCAACTAGGTTTGGGAATGTAGTTTGTTTAAGGAGATGAGCAGTTTTGAGTATGACTTAACTGCTGACACTCACTGACAATGTTCCCTCCTGGAGAACACACACAGGTAAATTGTTCTAATGCTGAAGCGTGCGCAAGTACCTCAACTGATAAGGCAGACACAAGAGTGGAGAAAACTTTAGAAACGGGGAATAAAGAAGAGCTATGTTTTAAAAATCAGTATTATTTGGCAGGGAAAAGTACAGTAACATTCTGTGTGTGGCTTGAGGTGTGCATACTCTGAACTGCTGCCTGGCAATGTTCCAGCTGTTTTTTTCACCCCACTTTAAATTCCGTAGTAAAGCAAAGTTATCGCGCTCTCTGTAGTTCTAAATGTTTTCCCTTTCATACTCATGTTACCGATTTGATCCTCTCCTCTGAAGGCATGGAACGCTTCCTTGCTGTTCAGGTAATCCTCACCAAATGGCCTAGGACAGTCTACAGCAATGCAGCGACATAGTGGCCAACGTTCATGCAGAGGCTGGCTGAGCGCGTACAGCAGTATGCCGAAGTAGAGACTTCTTAGTTCTGGAAAAATGAAAGCTCTCAAATCTCTTGTGTTTATGGAACAGGTAGGTGTTAACTCTTACGTGTGCTGTACAGCAGCTTTACCGTAGTTGCAGGAAGACTGGCAGGATTCTTGCAGTGTGACAGAACTCTTTGGCCCTAACTCAGATACTTACAGAGATGGCTGCTGGGGTCTGTTTGGCTTTGTGCAGGACGGTAAATCCAGCTCGGGTATCTTCAATGGTCTAGGTAAAGAGTTCCTGTTCCCTCATTACTATAAATGCAAACCTTACTGTGTGAATTCTAACTTTGTAGTGTAAGATAATGTATGAAACTACAGTACTTATATTACAAATTTAGAATTTATTAAATGCTATAAAATCTATTAAAAACTGAAAGTTACTAAAAAGTCTAGGATGTTCCAGACCCCTCAGTAACACTTAAGCAGCTCAACCAACCTTGTTTTTCACAAGGCAAAGACAGCCAAGTACATTGTTTCCTATACTTTATTTCTTCAGTCAGAGACAACCACACATCTGTCCCAATTCTTGCCCCCAAATAAATCCTCTGATTTTTTCCATCCCCTCCCCGAACCAGTTCATCATGCTAACTTTGGCATATGTAAGAACAGCAGCATGAACTTCAAACATAGCTAGTTTAACAAAAATTAGGTAATAGTATGTAAGTCTACCTGTATCTGGTAACATGCATTGGCCAAACCAAGTTATTACTCTTTTACACTGAAAATATTTCCGAGTGGCAGATTTTGCTGCTTAATAAAAAACAGCTATGAAAAAAACTTGAAGCCTCGCTCCCTCACGTTTCCCCAAAAAGTGACTAAGAAGTGAGTGGGGAGGGAAGTACCTCCCTGGATTTGTATTTCCAGCTTTGTTTATATTAAGTCAGACTGACATTAGAATTCCTCTTAAGCCATTTGTCAAAAATAATCATTTGCATGGACAAACCCTCTGGTTTTCTCTCTCATTCATTTTTTAGCTTGATCTTCCAGTAAATCTTTAGCTTCATTGATTTTGGCTGCTACATATGGAGAGCCACCTAGGAGAAAGATAACCTCACGTCACATCAGATGAAAAAAAACCATTTCTGTGTTGTTCATAATGCTACAGTACATAAGTGGGAAAAAAAATGAGAGTATGGTCTGAAAGTTACCCAAAGAACAAACTGCATTATGCCTGAAGCAATGTAAGTTTACACTTACGGTCACTGCAGTAGCTACATGTGCAGACAGCTCATTCCTGTTAGGCTGCTTTTAGTTCATTGGAGTGGGTTTGTTTTTTCTCCAGTTTTATCAGTCAGAAATTAATAGGTCACTTAGCATAAAGTTTGTTGTGAATACAGGAGCAGTAAACTAACAAGTCTGCAGATAAACCTTCCCCCTGGCCTAGTTCAAGGCAAGCTTAGGAAGAAACTGAAACAGAATCCACAATGCAAATGCACTGAAATGGTAACTGACCATGAGGTGCAAAGATTTGTAGTATGTATTTGTAGCATGTATACCATATATTAGTATTAGCATTACTCTATTTTTTTACTTGAAGCTTAATTTAACTTACTTAGGTCATGTAAAATATGCAAAATGCTCCTAGCAGTCTTTGGACAGCTATTTTGGATTTTGGTGCATAAAAGTAATGAAGTTCAACGGTCACTTCAAAGGAAGCCATTTTACCTTTTAAGTGAGGATTAAAAGGTTAAATGCCAAGCACAAAGACGTGATTCTGACTCACCAAAGTAAACAATTTAGAACAGTTACAGATGCCTCAAGTTACTAACTTTAAGCATAACTAGATACTGAGCCTTCAGACTACCAGAAACAGACATATTTCATAGTTTAGCATCTTCAACAGATGCAGAAGGCTCAATACTTGCCATTTATGGTCAATTCCCAATGCATTCAAATGAACTCAAACTCACATAAAGTGCACAAATACACTTGGGCTTTCATCTAAAATTAAGGTGATTTTTAAGTCTCATTTTAATTTGATATGCACAGAAGACAGAGCAAGTAACAAGCTGACTTCCTGAGTCTGTCTGCTTGCTTTAGAGCATTCACACAAAAACGTGCTCCAAAACCATAAGCATTAAGGCACCCTAAAATTTGTTTTCACTCAAGAGTTTTCTGGGGTTTTTTTAGTAGCTGAGGTAGTCATATCTCAGTCATCCCTACACAGTTCTATTAATCTGTGTTAAAAACATTTATGTATTAATCCATGTGACTTCATTTACTTACCTTTATCTGGATGATTCAGAAGCATGATCCGTCTATGAGCTTCTCTAATTTTACTTCTGTTGGCTGTAGGGCTTTAAAAGAGAGAAAAACTGACTTACGGGAACCTCCTAAAATCCCACAGATCTTTAAAAGATGTCTTAGAACAAGCAAGCGCTCTGTCTTATCCATAAGCTCTTTGGCTTACATGTACGTTTTTCTTTTCCTATTACTGGTGTGTAGCATGCAAGTCCTGGAGAGGGTTTCTAAAGTTTTCCCAAAACGCTGTACGCTGAAGAAGACATGCTATAGCAGCCTAATGTGGTGGGGGTCATTCACACAGTTGAAAAGAAACAGAACTATGTTGTAACACTTTTATTCGGACAACTTCTTAAAGGTCGGTGGAAAAAAATAAGATAAAATTTGCTCTTGATTTATTAAAAAAAAAAAACACACACACCACCAAAAAAACCCAAACAACAAACTGTATACAAAGTTCACAGAAGTCATTCTTATTCTGTATCTCATTAGATACATTTGTGTATTAGGTGTTAAGTCTCTTTAAGTTTTGGCAGGGATAGCTACCATATTCTAGAATATCTTAGATATGAGTAAGTAATGAATTTACTCCACATACAAGAAGTCGGTTTGCAGCACCTTCATACTGTGTCTATCCGAAATTCACCAGCAGGAGCCACAAGCAAACAGGACAACCATGCTCCCCATACCCAGTAAACCCCAAGGCTTCCTGAAAATGGGATATTTACCTGGACCTGTACGTGGCTTTTAAATGTGCTAGGGATTTGTAGATGTATGGAGTCCAGCTAGAGTTAGCTTTAAGCAAGCCAACATGCAGCAAAGAATCCCAAGTAAGTACAGAAAATCCTGAAGGGCCGCGTCATATTTCCTGACTTGGCAGTGGAATTCCCAGGGGAAGCTGGGCATAGGACAGCCTCAAGCACTGAGAATTATGGCCTTTTCAAACCAGGCCAGCAACTAGGTAACACCGTAGCCTCCACTTTACCTTTCATTTCTAATAAATTTCCTTTTACCTCACTCCTAGTATTAAAGCTGCTTCTCGTTTAGTCATTTTGGGTTCAAATCCGCCTCTGTAATAACCACTGAAGGCCTGAAAGAGAAAATGCAGTCATTTAAAAAACACTAAAGTTTAACTTTATCAGTTAAAACAACTCATTGCTCTAGCAGTCCTGAGCTTTTAATCTGTAAGAATACTGCAAAGCTTCTTTTGGGCTTGTAGTAAGAAATGCAGCTGAAGCAGAGTATCATTATTTAAATGAGCACTTAAACTTGCCAAAACAAATTCTCTATTAGTCAACCACCAGTGGAATTGCTGAGATTAATTCTGTTATTACTGACAAAATTATGTTTAGTATTAGAAGAAAATACAGCAATGCTATACAGAGACAAAAGACACTAGTTATTTCACCAAGTAAACTTTTGAATAAAAAGATGCTACTGATAAGACAAAAACTTACAGGTTTTGGCAGATTCTGAAGTGCTTGTTTTACTTGTGGTTCCATTTGTTTCATAGCTTTCAGTGCATAGCGACCTTAAAGAAACCAGTGTTGAACAAGGCTAAGTATAAAGCTTCGTGAAGATTTAGCAATTCAGTGTAACTGGTAACTTGTGGATTAGAACATGGTATAAACTTTTTTGGGACATAAAAAAGTACAAATTTTGATCTTTTGTTTAATTACAGCCATGTTTCTCAATACAGGCTCTCCCAAAAAAGTGTCCTGTATCAGGTATTAAACTACCTTAAAATTCCTCAGTACTGAAGCAGGCAACGATAAGTACAACTGGGTGTTCAGTGTCCTCCCACCATCTACAAACCTG